GGGCGGTCTCCACTCTAACTGGGGCTACTTTGGGTCGCCGTGATGCCATGCTCGAACGGCGTTTCTTGCCTAGTTTAAGACAGGTGGTCGAAATTAACGTTTACCAATATGATTTAGAACGTTACACGGGGAAGGTTTATACAGAACTTCACCGTTTCTAATTCTCACTTGAGGTCTATAACATTTATATTCGTGAAACCGTTAAACATGGTTTAGATAATTATTCCGCGATTCAAAAATATGTAAACCACTCTACGACATTATGTCACACCGTATTTCAGTAATTGGTTGCAAGTTATTGCATGTGAAGAGTACAAAAGGGGGGGGGGGGGGGGGGGGGGTGGAAGAATTTATTTTTTTCATTCATTTTTCCTTTTTTTTTGGAGGAAGGGGGGGGGGGGGGAAGGGAATTCTTGTTATGTTTCTGGAGTGAAGTCATCGTCAGTGTTCTCATTCTGTCCCTTTTCACGCGTGTCTACGTCTGACCACTGAGCACACTGGCTAGGATTCCGGCTGATACGGCCCACAGTCTCCTGGAACGTCCTCTTTTGAAAAAAGCTGGTGGAGGTCAAGCCGTGATTGTTGAAGGCTCTGAGCGACGTGCGAAGCCCCGCCCACTTGCAAGGGGGCGTGGTCAGCAGGAACCAGTAGGCCTGTCGGTATGTCTTGCGGGACAGCGCGTAGACGAGAGCGTTGATGAAGGAGTTGGCGAGAACGGGGAGTCGGATGAGGATCATGTAGGTATGAGCATCTCTGCCGTTGAACAAGATCTTAGACGGACCGAGCAGAAGGGTGGGCAGCCATAGAATTATGAACAAAAACATGAGGATCATCGTGATCTTCACGCTGATCATCTTGCGCTTGAACTCTGACCTCTGCTTGGAGGTGAAATAGAAATGGCCTCTTTTCAACTTCCGGGACTGTTTCAACGAAACGACCGCCACTTGGACGCTCAAGCACAGCGCTATGCCCAGCTGCAGCCCGCGTTTGACCTCGATATAAATCTGCCGGTAGGCGTACGGGAAGTTCATGTGGTAGGTGCACCGTTGATCGATGGGCAGTTTGTTGGGGTCGAACACCATGAGTCTGGAGTAAACGACGACAGCCTCGATGACCCCTTCCGCAAACAGCACGAGAATGGCCCCCACGGCCCGCCGGGTGGTGACGTATCTCTGGTACCAGAAGGGACAGTTCACGCTGACGAACCGATCGACGCAGAGTAAGAGCAGCATTTGTAGGGAAAAGTACTCCCACTCCTCGGCCACGTATCGGATCACGCACGTCCATTTGTTGGATCGGATGAAAACCATGGTCTCCTGCACCTCGTATAAGACGTAGACCGGAATGCTCCAGGCACCCACCATGAAGTCCACCAGCGCCAAAGCGGTGATGATGCAGTTGTCGGGCGTGTGGAGGGTGGGGATGAGGAGGGTGGTCGCCACGATGAACATGTTGGAGATGACGATGAAGGGGAAGAAGAGGATGGCGAGGAAGACGAAAATGACATGCACGACCTCCCATCGGATTGACGATGTGTGGATGTGGGCGTTGGACATCTGGAGGGGTGGTGCGAAGGGCGGGAAGGTGGAGAGTTCGTATGTGGCCGGGAGCTCCATTGATCGTGGGTGGGTGGGGGGGGAGGAAGGAATGAAGAAAGGAAGGATGGGGGAAGGACACATGTCCCAAGTCCCCAGTGCAAAGGCTTACATCGTATCCTCTGAGCACAGCCGTGTGGTAGGAGAGCAGCTGCATGGAAGGAAGGAAGGAAGGAAGGAAGGAAGGAAGGAAGGAAGGAGGGAAGGAATGAGGGGAAGGAGAGAAGGAAAGGGAGGGGGGAGGGAGGAAGGAAGGAGAGAGAGAGAATTATGTTTACGAGCACGGCTGATACTCAAGAGCGCTCCTTCCAACATTGAAGAGGGGCAAAATGTATCCGTAATGGAACCAGAGACACTAAAATATTTTAGAGTCTCTGATGGAACGTATCCTGCCTCTCTCCCGCACACACGCCACACCGGCAAATTATGTGACAACTCTTGATTTAGCTGAAAATGTCAGCAAACACCTGGCATCTTCTTAGCGCCGACCGCGATCTGCGTACGCTTTTTGGATCTTCATTTATTTATTGCTAAATTCGTTGTTGTTAGTTTTGTATTAGATCTAGCATTTGGTGATTGTAATGATGCAGATGTTGCTTTTAGAAAAAGTGTTGCCAAGTTTGTAGCAGCTCTTCTTCTTCTTCTTCTTCTTCTTCTTCTTCTTCTTCTTCTTCTTCTTCTTCTTCTTCTTCTTCTTCTTCTTCTTCTTCTTCTTCTTCTTCTT